TTTTTATGAAAAGAAAAGTATTAATATTTAACAATTAATTATTTAAATGTTTATTTTGTTGAAAAAAATATACATTGGTAGTGTACATTTTCTGTGCTTAACATCCATGTGTCCTTAAGTCTGGACAAAAGATCTCTTTTATGAGTTTGGCTGGTATATCCCAAAGGCGTCCCCTGTCTTATCAGTGGCATGCCTACTCACCAACAACCCTACTCCATTCGAAAAACAAGTTCAGTTGGTCAAATAAAAATTAAAGAGAAGCAGAAAATTTATGAAAATGATTAACTTGTATAAAACATACCAAAATCTGAACCATTTTATAACTTTTTTCTTGTTGGCCATATTGCTGACAAAGATGTATATAATTATGTGATAATTTTAATCTATAGGACAGAGGACTGATTGGGCAAAAAACCCAATCCAGTCCCCTACCCAAAATCATAAATTGGTTAGCATCAGAGAAATAGAGCATTTATGAAAATGATTATGCAAAACAAACACTATTTACAACTTTCCTCTTAACATCAGAGCCAAATGCAATTTCAGGGCCACCAACCCTGCTCTGAATTGTAACCTCCTGTGCTTGAAACAAGTTGCAGATTTTCGTTGCTTTGATGGAGGATATTTACATGGCACTACAATTCATCAGCAGAATTGTAACATCTTGGTCACAGAGCCATCCTTACCCTAGAGGTGGAATCGTTGCAGGCAACTTTTCAACCAGCGTGCCAGCAGCCATCTCTGGTCTGGGAAGATTAGTGAAAATGTCATTGACAATTGATGCAGTCTCGGTAAACTCCAGGGCACTGCTTCCCGCCCCCTCGAGTTCAATTGCATCATCATATCATCGGGGGATCAAGTCAGATTAGCCTTGTGTACACGAGGAACGTGTGAGAATGACTGTAACGTTCAAGGTAGCGTGCGTGCTTCAACGCCTGCCATTTTTCTGTAATCAAACATTGCATATTTGAATTGTTTCTTTTTAAATGGTGTGCTGCCTTGACATCTTGTGATTATAATAATATTATTAATATTATTGATTACGCAAAGCAAAATATTATCAATGAAAATCTTGTAATTACCCAGCAATGATCTGCTCCGCGTTTTGATTTCCAATTAAAATATTTATAATAACCAAAAATATCAATACAAATAAAAAAAAGTACCTCTGGTTAGTTATTAAAACGTTTCTTTTTTGAGACCCAAACCAAACAAACAACACTCACGTTTTGTCACCTTGGACTCTGTCAAAAAATAAATTGTTTTTTGTTTTTCGAAAAAAAAAAAAAAAAAATCAATTCGCGTCTGTCCTACCAAAAAAAAAACCAATCACATAAATAATTAATGTGTACACGTCGATCAAAACAAACTTTTAAAAAAAAAAAATAAAAAATGTCTTCAGAAGCAAGACAAAAAAGAAGAAAAACCACTGCTCTTGGTGAAATTGCTGGGTAAGTGTTTTAAGGATGGTGGTGGTGGTTATCGCCACTTGCCCGCCGCTCGTCGTCACTCTAGTTAATTTAAAGAGAATGGTTGTGGTTGCGATCATTGCAACTTGTCATTCTAAAAAAAACTTTTGATTTTCCTGTATTTGTTTAGTAAATCGTCCTTGCGACCACCCCTTCAAAAAATAAAAGATAATAAAGAAAATACACAAGTATAATCATATTATTTATTTATTTCAATAATTAATATTTAATGTTCAATTGTGATCAATATTGCAAATTTTAATCTGATCTATATAAAATAATCATTAGGAATTGAAAGAAACAATCGAAAATTTAGAAAAACAACTTGCAGAATTAAAAAAAGAATTGGAAAAAAAGGCACTACTTGTTATTTACTTAATATTTTATGATTTACAAAACATCATATATTATAATTTAGTATGATGATACTAATAATTTGTAACTTTACAATTTTTTATAATATAGACAACTACCAGTTCTTCTCTAAGTCTTCATAAAAATGGATCAATTATAAAGTCTGAGTTAGAATTAATAAATCTTCAGGTATATGACAATAGTCCCATTTATTTAAATAGCATTAAATCATCTTTGGTTTACAATTAATCATATTTAAAAAATAACTTCAAGGATGAAGATGTTAAGGATTATCCATGGATATCTACTATAAATATCCATGAGAAAATATTTTCTATTTTGAGAGAATTTGGACCACAAACATACGAGTATAATGACCCACTGACAAGTTGTATCATAGATACATCTGATCCACCTTTTTGGCTTAAAGATAATTTCGATGATGACACATGGGACATGGTTTCATCATCACACAATTCAAATTTTCATTCATCTACCAATAAGTCATCTATTAGCCAAGAAAATATGAAGCAGTTGAAGGACCATTTGTAAAGTTTTTAAATTTTTATTTTATTTCTTTATTCAAAGTATTTTATCTAATATATTTTAACAATTAAGTTGGTACATCAGAAAAAATGAAGAATATAAAAATTATAATGAAGCTAGTATTAACGAAGGAACTTGGTCATTAGATTCTGTATGGATCTCAATGAAGATTGCATGTAGAGATTCTGGTCATCTACGTTTGCTTATGTGAGTAATAATATATATAATTTTTTTTAATGAAATATTTACTTTTTAATCAAATTCATTATTTAACTTAGCCCAGAAAAAATAAATAAAGGATCCAAGAAAAGAGTACTGGAGGAAATTGACGCTAAAACAGTTAAATATTATTTAATAATTAACATTTTTATAATGTATTGATATATATTAACCAAGAATTTTCCCTTTTTTAGTATCGATTAGGAAAAAAATCAGATATTACACTTTTAACAACTAAATTATATATTAACAACCATAAGAAGGTTCCATTTGAATTGTTAATTGGTGAGGTCATTCATCACCCATGGAAAAAGGATCAAAGTAAGGTTAATAATGACAGAAGAAAATCTTTCAGGATGCTAAAAGATATGTATGATTTAATTTGTAAGTATTTTCATAAAAAATATGGTACATCTGAGTGTGGGAATATAAATCTCAAAAATTTGGAATTATATTCTATCATTATAAAAGGTATGATAAATTTTTTAAATCTTTGCAAATAAGTTATTCCAATTGATTCTATAGATTATAATTTATTTCAAAAATTCAACAAGAGTTGGATTTATATGTTTATAGTTTAGACCAACCAGGGAGTAGGCTTTATAGAGTTAAATTAGTAGATCATGCAAAGATACCTGTTTGTGAAGACAATAATAATGAAAGATATTATGAATTGATCAAAAAAATAGTGGTAAACATTTAAAGTTTTTATTATATATTGAATTGAATTTGTTACTGACACAATACTTTATAAATCATAAATTTTAGGCATCAGTTAATCATTTTTCTGCTTTGATTGAGGATCTGGACAAAAAATTAAATGAGTTAAAAACTGAAAAAAAATCAAAAATCAATAGACTGTTAGTATCCAAGACATTTAGGTCTCCTTGATACTTAATCAATGCTTGATATTAATGGTCAGTTAGGGACAATGAGTATCATCTTTTCAGATGATAAATTTAAAAATTTATCTATGTATAATCAATAATAGATAATCATGTTATAATTGCTAAATAAATATAATATATGCATAATAAATTTATATTAGTGCACAAAAGAAATTTGCTCAAATAATCAGTATTAGTTTTTCATCATTGTTGGTATTAGTATTTTAATTAGTGAGTAGTGAAAACAATTGATGTTTCTTCAATCCATGGCACATCACCAAGCTTTTTTCTTAAAAAAACATTATTATGCAATCTTTGAGATTTCTTTTATCTGCATATAAAATAATCTTTTAATAGTAGAACTTTTTCTGTAAAGGTTGTTTGATTAGTATTAGTCATTTCTGTAAAATACATTTTGTCAATGTGTGCAAATTCAGATAAGTGAAAATTTTGATGATTGACATTGAAATTTGTTAATATTACCATTACCTAAAAACAGTTTCTTTGTACAACATTTAAAAAAACTTGAACCAAATTTTGCAGAAACCCTATTTTTAATATTAATTGAGGATACAAATGTTCACTTTGTCTGGTTTTGTTGCAGCATGCCCCATTTAATGTGTATGAATATGAATATGAATATGATATAAATCAATTATTAAATTTTTTTTTTATGAATCATAATTTTTGATCAATATTGTATTTCATAGAATCCAGGCATTCCATGGTTGTCAATTTCCAAAATTATTATATTAATAAATTAAAGTAACTTAATACAAAAGAACTTTAAATATTTTTGGAGAAATGTTTTACTTACTATGCATAGAAGTCAGAATTTTTTTCCTAAATAATACCATCTTCAGATCTTCTAGTCCAGTTGTCTGACAATAAGCTTTAAAATATCAACATCGTTCAGTTCAAATCAACAGTCAGGAAATTGATTGGCTGAAATTTCTGTTGGGGGACAACTATATATATAACAATAATAAAATTTTAAAACTTGTACTACATATATTCTACCTTTAAAAATGACTAGTAGTAATAATAATAAATGGAGAATAGATTTTACAAATCTTGCTGATCAAGCAAGGTAAGATTTATACACTAGATAATATTTATTATCAATTTAATAAACTTGGTTTAAATTGACATTAGACGACATGAAGTTAGAGGACAAGTGTTGGTGGTTGATCCACCACCACCACCAGGTTTTGTACTTTCAAGTTCCATTTCAACTGGGTTTAAAGGAAATTTGGTACTGTGTGAGCTTTATATATACATACATATACATATATACACGTATATTTAAAATTAATGGCATATGTATATGTATATATATATATATATATAGAAAAATAAAAAAGATGATCAAGCCGTTTCAACAGAAAAAGATCAAGAACAACTTAAAATAAAAGTTATTATTTATATTAATACTTGTTATTGTTAATAACTTATACTTAATAATTACTATTGTTTAATAATATATTTATATTTATATTATTTAGAAAGCCTGGGATGCAGCTTTATCACCAGGAAAAAATATACCAATGAATGTATTTATGTTATGGATGAGTGGAAATGGAGTACAGATATTTAGTGTTATGATTACAGGAATGTTACTTGTTCAACCAATAAAAGCATTAATGAACATTGATAGTGGTAAGTCAATTGTTTTTATTTAAAAAAATCCTTAGGGATTGTTAATAACTCATTAAATCTTATTATTATCTAGTATTTGAAAGATATGAATCATCAAAAACCAAACCTTATTTAATATGGCCAAAATTACTGTATGTGTTTTTTCAATTTCTTATAATGTCTCTTGGATTATATAAATGTTCATCTATGGGATTGTTACCAACTGCTACTTCAGATTGGTTGGCATTCATGGATCCTAAACAGGTAAAAATTTCATTATCTCTTTTTATTATAATTATAATTATATACTAAATTCTTTTTTAAAATATATTCTTAGATTCTAGAATATTCTGAAATATAAATATTTTATATAAATAAATAAAATTTTGAAATTGATTTAAAATTCCATTCCAATGAGAATATATATATTATAGCAAAAGTTCTGGGATGATCCGATGTATAAGTAACTTGTGTAAAACTGTTTCTAAAAATTCATACATGTATTAAGATTTAATTAGGTTAAACATAATGATTATGATAGTTATGCTTGTGCTTGCTTAGAAGACTTTTCTTGTGAAGACATACTACTAGATAATGAATGACAACAACAATACTATATTTAAATATTCTATGATAATAATAATTGAAAAAAAAAGAAAGGGGGTAACAAGCACAAAACCATATATTTTGAAGTGCAAGTAGTCCAAGATAAAAGAAAAGTTGGAACAAATATGTGTTTGCAATAACCTCCACTATCCTTGACTTTGTATATATTGTATATATGTGTGTATAATATATATAAGTGTTAGTCAAGATCTATGAAGTTTGCAAAACGAATGTTTATCGATTATTCAATAATTATATAGGCGAGTTTGATCGAAGTAAGTGTTAAAGTCGAGATCTACAAAGCTGTTTGTAAAATATATTTAATGGACGTTTTATTATATAGACGGGTTTGATCGAAACAAGTGTTAGTCAATATCTATGAAGTAAAACGAATGTTTATCAATTATTCAATAATTATATAGGCGGGTTTGATCGAAATAAGTGTTAAAGACAATTTATACATTTTATAATGAATAAAATAAGTATTTTACACATTACGTACATTATACGTGGAATCAAAAACATACTGGTACTAGAACCTTTTCAGTATTACTAATATGTTACAAAATTCCGTGCCTTATATGCAAAATTAAAACATACCTTTTCGTATTCAGTATGTTGCAAATTCTGTACCTTATATACGGAATCAAAAAGTACCTTTTCAGTATGTTACAAATTCCGTGCCTTATTATTATATGCGGAATCAAAAACGTACCTTTTTGGTGTAATTCGTTTCAACGGATTTTAAATGAAATTTTCTTATATGTCCAGCCACTCCATTGAAACGAGAGTTATACTGTAGCTTCCTAACAAATGCATGATCATTCATTCGATTTGGTCAAATAATTTAATTCCAAAAAAGGTGGATCAGATGTATCTATGATACAACTTGTCAGTGGGTCATTATACTCGTATGTTTGTGGTCCAAATTCTCTCAAAATAGAAAATATTTTCTCATGGATATTTATAGTAGATATCCATGGATAATCCTTAACATCTTCATCCTTGAAGTTATTTTTTAAATATGATTAATTGTAAACCAAAGATGATTTAATGCTATTTAAATAAATGGGACTATTGTCATATACCTGAAGATTTATTAATTCTAACTCAGACTTTATAATTGATCCATTTTTATGAAGACTTAGAGAAGAACTGGTAGTTGTCTATATTATAAAAAATTGTAAAGTTACAAATTATTAGTATCATCATACTAAATTATAATATATGATGTTTTGTAAATCATAAAATATTAAGTAAATAACAAGTAGTGCCTTTTTTTCCAATTCTTTTTTTAATTCTGCAAGTTGTTTTTCTAAATTTTCGATTGTTTCTTTCAATTCCTAATGATTATTTTATATAGATCAGATTAAAATTTGCAATATTGATCACAATTGAACATTAAATATTAATTATTGAAATAAATAAATAATATGATTATACTTGTGTATTTTCTTTATTATCTTTTATTTTTTGAAGGGGTGGTCGCAAGGACGATTTACTAAACAAATACAGGAAAATCAAAAGTTTTTTTTAGAATGACAAGTTGCAATGATCGCAACCACAACCATTCTCTTTAAATTAACTAGAGTGACGACGAGCGGCGGGCAAGTGGCGATAACCACCACCACCATCCTTAAAACACTTACCCAGCAATTTCACCAAGAGCAGTGGTTTTTCTTCTTTTTTGTCTTGCTTCTGAAGACATTTTTTATTTTTTTTTTTTAAAAG